TTCTCACTTTTTCACTCCTAAGTAGTGCATTTCTCACTTTTATACTGCTCAACGGTAAAAAGACCTACTTCTCATGCTTAACTACCGTCGGTAAAAGAGCCCTTTTTGGGCTTGAGCAATGAAAATTAATATACACACCTCGCCATGGAAAACATATCACCCTCCCCCACGTGCTTGCCATCCTCGCCTTCGACTCGGAAGGCAATCTTGCACGTGGGGGACGGTGATCTGTTTTCCAAGGCTCGGGCATATAATGTACTATTTCGAAGTACATGTTTACTTGTATCAAGAAAAGAATATCTTCCACTGAGAAAAAACACTTTCGTCATGAGATTTTGTACTTGTCTCAAAGTTGAGGGGTAATAGAGAACTTGTATGATTTTTTTTTAATTTTTCAATCTCAAGTTTCAGCTCTAAATGATTAATTTTTCATTTATAAACATTAGAAATATTGCTCATTAATTAATAATTAATTGTCGAAAGTTGATGATTTCAAACACTTTGAAATCGCTGATGACATCACGAGGGAGGTCGAACGTTGAACTAATCCCAGAATGGCTCAAGCCCACCTAACCCAATGTTCACGCGCGACTATCCAATGGATAACGACGACTCCCCTCTCTCTTCGGATTTGACTAACAAAGCGCTACCCAACATTATTAACCTTAGATTGGTCACCCTATGAGGGAAACCCCGCCGCGCGTCGTTTTTCTTTAATTACAATTGACTGACTAACCGGAAAATTAAAAAAAAATTTGACTTTGTCAATTGAAGTGCAACATATTTCCTAGAATTCCTAAAGAAACCAAATTATTTCGAACAGACGAGTTATTTTTTCCATGTTAAGGATGTATTACACCTTTTTCGCCAAAATTCACGTTTTTTGAATTTCTCTGGTAAATTGTTGATCGGATTGACGTGAAAAAATATACAGTTTTTGCGTTTTATCATTACTTAAAGACTCACGAAATTTCATGATCGTGTAATCATTTTCCTGCATTTTTTCTCAAACTTTTCGGAAATTCACAAAACTTTAGAAAAAATGCAGAAAAATGATTGCACTACCATGAAACTTCGTGAGTCAGTCAATAATGATAAAATGCAAAAACGGTATATTATTTCGCGTTAATCCGATCCAATCCGATCAATTTGCCAGAAAAATGAAGAAAAACGTGAATTTGGGCCGAAAGGGTGTAGTATATCCTTAAATGAAATCTCTCTCTGACGCGACGTTGCCGAAAACTCGTTAAACGTGTCTGGGCACTGCAGAGTGAATTCGGCAACGCTAGAGCCTAAATAACACGACGACGAATCCCAGCGGAGATGACCAATCGCAGGGTCGCGTTTGGTGACCAGACTAGGATTAATCCCGAGTCGAATATCTGGACCTTATTCTCCCCTATTACCTCCTCGAGTCGTATATCTGGACCTTATTCCCCCTATTACCTCCGTGAGATATTTTTTCCTCCTTTCTTCATCCTATACATCCTAAATAACTCCTTATATGATCCTGCCCCATCCTAAAGGCGTAAAAACCCTTCTCAACTGATACTTTTTTCCCCCTTCTCCTCCTGTCGAATGAAAAGGAATCATAAATCCCCTGAATTAACCCTGATAGCCAGGATGATTGAGTAGCTCACTATTTTGTTCATTTCTGTTTGCGGTGAAAATTACTGAAATTCCCACCCTTATTTTTGACTGTCGTTGCTGATCGTTATTTTTGACCCTTATATATGCCCCTTGAGTATGACCTTAATTTTCACCCGTACTTCTCATGTTAATAATTAAAAATAATAAAAAAAATACCTCGAAAGGGTTTGTAGGTTCTTTCCAGGAGGGATGGAGTGGAAAACATTTTAGGGGGTGCAGGCGATAAATAGGTTTAACACACCTCTTGTTTTCCTCCTGAACCCTTGGAATTTGGAAATAACTCGCACATTCAGGCGGACACCAGGGGGTCTTTCTGAAGGTAAATACACCCTAACTTCATCCTGGTCCTTCTACTCATGATAGGTGTTCAAGGGGAAATTCAGGTCCTAATATTCGACTCGGGATGCCACTTTGTGACGTCATGACAGAAATAATATCTTTCGAAAACATTTTCAATTAATTATTGTAAAATATCTAGGCAATATCTCTATATACACTAAAAAAATAAGGACGGTTAAAAATTCAGAAGACGCCCTTGACTGGTCCTTATCTGCGAACCTGATGATGCCATTGAGAATGAATTCTTATCTCGATCTCTCTAATATGTTCATATTTCTATAGATTCATATGGGAATTACATAGGGGTCACATTCCACTGGGGTCAAATTTTTACAAAATAATAATAAGAGTATACCTCATACTATTCTACGTAAATAAATGAAAAAAATAAATGGTCGAGTCTCACGACAAAAGGCGTTGGTTGGTGCCGTTTGTAAATAATAAAAATCGCAATTTTTCAAAGGAGGTGAATCATTCTATCAATTTTTTTCTGTATAGTACGAGCACCTAAATATACCCAAGAAGATTGGGGGGGGGGAGCGAGCGAAGCGCGCAGGGGGGCTATAAGCCCCCCGGGGTTGGCGAGCGAAGCGAGCAGGGGGTGAAGCCCCCTAGTTTCTCCATAATTATTTTCGTTTAGCTACATATTCGTTATGTGGAATAGATGAATAGGGAAATTTCGGAAAACTGAGCTCCATGCTAAGTCAAGTGGTTTTTGCATTAAAATATTTTGGATTTGAGATGAAAAAAGTATTGTATGAATTGATTCAACTATACTTGGTTTGAAAAATCGCTCTCTTCTCTTAAAAAAATTATCCTCGTTTTTGGGACAAGCATGAAATCTCCTGACAAATGTTTTTTTTTCTCAGTCTAAGATATTTTGTTCTCGTTCATTTTCAAGCCGTGAGTTTCTTGATACAACTGTAGACGTACTTCTCAAAAAACTTTTTTTTTCCCAGTGAAAGAAAAATATTTCCACCAGACGGATCCTCGATCCTCAATTTACGATCTGGAATTACATGATGATACCGGCATTTCATTGGATTAAATTCAATTGCCGGTGAAGGAGTCAGGGGGTGGGGGGATCCTAGTCAGTTGGTTTATATATGTAGGTATTAAACCCAGGGGCCTCATAGTCGTTATCCTTGAGAGAGCCGGCGTGCACTCTTTCGTTTTGTTTCGGGCGCATAGCCGGGCCCCAATGAATAGGAGGGCAAGTTGACGCGTCGTTTTGCGGAGGTAGAGAGGGCAAAAAAAGAGAAGCGAGAGAGAGGTTTTGAAGAATAATAAAAGAAGGCATTGCGATTTTTTTTGTCAGACCCAACTGAAGCATCAGACACGTGTTGTAAATGTGGTTTAACGCGGTGGGCTAACAATAGAATTTTCTATTTTATTTTTCTTTCAGCTACACTTTGACTGTTGATGCTCAGTTATTCTTTCGGATTTTCTCAGCTGGACAATGGAATCCCGGGCAAGTGCAGAGCAGTTCAGGTTTTCACCGTGGAGGGGGAAAGAGAGATTAGTCCGGGTTTTACTTGATAAATTTTAGTTGAAAGATCAAGGCCTTTTAACCGACTTGACGGTGAACAATAGGGAGAGAGGGAAGCCATTTGCATTGGGGCCTAAAATGTGCCTGGAAAATTTTATCCCCAAACGGCATACGGGCCTCGGGTATTCAGAACAGCAGGGTGAAGAGCTAAAAGGGACGGAGAAAATGACCGCGGGGGAGTGACTTTCGACTTTCGCCTCTTCATTTTTCTGAATTAATTTACATTTATTTTTATTTACCAAAAAAGCAGAGTTTGGCGGTATGGTGCGAGAATTGTGAAGCATTTAAATCTCTTATCAAGTGCCAGCGTGAATCACATGAGGAATAATCATAAGCGAGATATTGGCAGATTTTTTTTTTTCAAAAAATTCCAGTGCAACTCGACTTGAAAAATTGCACTTCAATATTGTTGCTTCATTTGGTGCATTATTTTTTACTTACACCACCTCGCCTTCTTTGGGGCACACCCAAATTGACCAACTGCAGGCCGTCACGACTCCTCTCCAGGGCCGTGTACACCCTTCCGTTTGACCTTGCCTGAAATATCCACGATGTAATGTTCATCTCCGGCTGAATATTTATTTATATTATTCTGTTTGAATCAACCGCGAGAGCGATCTTACGAGGTGCACTAGTAGTTTTATTTTTTTTTTCAAATATTCTTTTAAGATGCTGGGGCCCCATTCGTATATAGTATTGTATGTTTTCTTAGATTATAAAGGTACTACACATTGTTGAAATTTTTTGGCAAAAATTTCCAGTGCACTTCTTAAATTCGATACTCTTCTATCAAGTGAAAATTCACAATTTGGCGAAAAAATCAATGGAAACTGTAAATTTGAGTTCTGGATGGACTACAGCTTAACTTTTGTCTCTTTTTATCTTTTATCTTTGCTATCAATATTGTAAAGGGTGTTTTTATAATATGTAACTTTCTGCATTTACCAGTATATTTTATGGGACAATGGGACGGAACCAAAATATAAAAACCCGAGAGGGTATACATCTGAACTAATAAATGAACAAATCTGTAAATTTGGTTTCAATCATCCGTTGAAAATGCGTAGCAATGAAGGAAATTCAAGTAAATATATTCATGAATTTTTCATTTAATTCGAAATTCAGTGTGATTTTGCACTGAACATTTTTGTGTTAATTGAAATTTTCATAATTAGCTGTTCAGCACTTCAGTCCAATTAAGTTTGTATTCATCTCAAGATATTTAGGCACAATCACGTATGGTCTTTTGTGCTCAATACTCCATTTCGTCAGGACCTCATGTCCACAATTTTATTTTGAATCAAGTTATACAGAGTTGAGAAGAAATCATATATGTTTTCAACAACAGTCCAGCTGTAATTTTCAGAAGATAACGTTGAATTCAATTTACGGGGGACCGCAATGAAATTTGAAAGTTGCACGTGGTTGTCTCTACCCTGTAGATGACTTTGGTACTCAGTTTTAATCCACAAAGAATGAGAAAAAAATCGAGTTTCAATTTTTTCATTGAGAGCATGTGGTTGTACAAGTATTAAATCTTCAAAATAGTCCCTTTCCTATGATTTTCGATGGATTGATTCAAATTTTGCTTTTCACACACAATATAGTAACGAAAAAAAATTATGTGAGATTCTTGGAAAATTCCAATTTTTCTATTTTTTTTTTTGTAAAATTGGTAGAGACAATCGTGTTTTAGTAAGTATTTTAGTAATAGTATTTTAGCAAATTGCTAATTTTTTTGATCATTAGTATGGCAGTTTCGCAAAGTGAACTTAAATGAATAGATTCAAGATACTAATTTGAGTATGAATCTTTTGCTGCGAAATTTGAAAATCCTCGTTACAGATAGGGACTTATGGAGCAAATTTCCATATATGAAGAGATATATTAACCCCTCACGGACGGGGCCCTTCTGTTACCAAACGTAGTGTGTGCTCAATCCGGCACGAATTCGATTTTTTTAATAAATGTAAAATTATTAAACCGGTATCTAATTGAAGCTGCAGTATTCCGGTTTCCAATTTTGTTTGTCTGATCAAGTTATGCTTCATAGATTTGGAAATAATCAGTTTCGAAAACAGGCGTTCACATTCGCATGGATCGATACCATGCATCGACCCCGTACGTGAGGGGTTAACAAGTCGGGAAAATGACGAATGGCATCAATTTTACCCGATGAATCAGCGAAAAACAACAATTTTCATTTTTACCTTTGAAATCGTCCAAATGAGTCAGTTTTCATCCGATTGATATTTTTTTTCCAAATATTCGTTAGTCTCTAACAAAAAACAAAATGCATTTATTTTGCAAACCATTGACCGCATCATGAAAAAATAAGAAAAAATGAAAAATTGAGAAATCGCCAAGATTTGTTGAATCCTATTTAGTGGGCAAGGCTGATGAAATTCAACGTTTCAGTAATAATTGAAGTAAATTTGAATAGGTTCAAGTAGAAATGCGATGGGCATTCCACAACTCACTTGAAATTTCAATTAATTAAGAATACATCCTCCAAAATTTTTTCTAATTTTTCCTTATTTTCACTGAAATTGTATAAAATTGGGTGGTGCCAGATGGTATGACCGTTGGGGTCTTTTACCTACCCGTCCCAGTACACTGATAGATCGGATTAGTTATTGTTAACGAATGGATTTTGGTTGGAGGGTAGGGTCTATTCGGTCCCACCAAATCTTCATTCGTTAATAGTTAACGAATGTATATTTGAGGAACCTTGTTTGACTTGACTTTCGCCATTCAAGTGAACCATTCGTTAACTATTAACGAATATTCATTTGGTCATATTCAACTCTACCATTCGTTAATAGTTAACGAATCTCGTTTGGAATAAATGAATCATTCTATCAGTGTACCTACGCGGTACCCCAGCCTAATTCCCTACCCGCACTTGCCTCTAAAGCTAACTTATATCTAACTCCACATAACTAACTCCACATGCACTGGGTTCGTTTTCCGGCGATGAAAAAATCTTTCATCACCGGGACTCGAACCTGCGCTACTGGGACGCTTTGGTTTATAGGGCCAGCACGCTGACGACGAGCCCAAAGACGTCCTCTCTGAAATTGTATATTTTTCTATCATTTAAGGTTTGCCGTCAATGAAACGTCATTATTTAATAACAATATTTGCTGCAATTTCCGTGGAAATATGACTTGTTAAAAATTCCCAGGATTTGACTTAGAAAATTCAAACAAGAATTTTCAACCATAGGCTTGCATGATATTTATTTAGTTTCAATAGATGACAATTTTATTTATTAGTTCAATGTTTATCATGCGTAGAGATGTGGAATGACCGTCAGGGTTAAGCTGCCTTAGACAAAAGCCAAAATTGACCGTCATTTTTATTTCGGTCATTTTTTGGGTCATTTTTTACGAGTTCGATCCAAAAACGTTTTAATAGAATTGAATTATTATCATTTATAATTTTATTTATTACTTATTATCAATGGCCCCATTCTCAATGATAGAAATCGCTAGTGGTAGAAAATTGAGGTTCATCTATATAGATGGAAATTGAAGGTCATTCGACTGCTCATTTTTGTCACTGACATCTTCAATCATCAGTAGTAATTTTTAGGAAACGACTGATGGAATTCCAAGTTTTAGAAAGAATTCAAGTGAAAATACGACAAAAATTTCACAGCTGGCTTGAGCTTTCCCAATTTTTCCTTATTTTCACTAAAATTTACATCAAAATTATCTTATATTTTTCCATAATTTGATAATAAAATCAATGGAGCGTATACTGTAAGGATAAGCAAGAATGTAACTTTTCGACGAATAATTTGTCAATGGCAAGATTTCCTGAAATTTCAGTGAAAATATGATTTGTTTAAAATTCCTGAGATTTCACTTGGAAAATTCAGACAAAAGTTTTCAACCATGTACGCTCACTATATTAATTCATATATAATAGATGACGAATTTGTTCATCTATTCAATTTTCTCATTTCTACACTTAAAAATAATGTCGATGTCACTGATTAATGCTTTTTGTTTTTCCTCTCCCATTCTCTTCCCTCGTCTACCCTTGAATTATGGACGAAAAATGTAACGAGATGTGTTGGAGAGGTTTTTAGAAAAAAGAAACAAGTGAGAATGCTATACCTGCCGGTTGGATATTAAGGAGAACATCATACCCTCGTCACTTTGACCGTGCTCTCTCCATTCCTCCTTTTGCCCCCCTCCCCCCCACCCCCCCTCGTCAACTCAAGTCTGCCTCACACTTATTCCATCCCCCGTCTCCACCCCTCATCTATCCACCCTTCTTTTTTCCTTTATTTTTCATTATGCGCTCTCGTTTTTTCGTCCCTTATTTTTGTCTCTTTCTGTTTCAGGTCTCACTTGAGAGTTAAGCACATTAGGGTGGGGCAAATCGAGGGGAAAAGGGGACCAAGAGAGCCCGGGTTCAGAAAAAAATTGAGAGGAAAAAATGAGACGAAAATACAAGGGGGCTCATGGTGGTGCACAACTGGCCAAGTCAAGTTGAGAATTCATCTCGCACCCCCGCGCAGGTCCATTTCAGTTGGAGGCGAACTTTACCTACCTAACCCCGGAGTTGAATAAAATGCACTAGACCCACCTCGTAGCTACGCGGTACACGACATTCCAAATTTTTTTTCGGAGAAAAAGAGAGAAAGGAGATCTCGTCTTCTCTCTTGTTCTTCTTATTCTGATTATCCTGCACGTTGCATTTTGAGCTGTTGCCTCTGGGGCTTCTAACATCGATTGGGACAGGGAATAAAAACGAACTTTGTTATTACGTGACACGAAGTACGTCACAAAGATTAGATACTGGAAGACCTGGCTTTCCCAGAGGGGACAAATGGCTCGGTAAACCGTATTCCCGTGATTATGAGGAAGGTAGGCTTACGTTGCGGGGTATAAATCAACATTTTTTTGTTGATTTATGAAATGTCAAGGGATCGATGGCTTTGTTTCTCACGAACTACTTAACAAACTTGGAAATTTATTAAAAATGGAAGAAATCAATTCGAATTACTTCACTCACTTTGCGACTTTGGAGAGTGAAGTTTGGAATTGTGGGACACGAAGGATTTCCTCGACGAAATAGTAGTGAACGTTGGATTTTATTAATGAAAAATTATACCAGTTATATTTCATTGAATTCTAAACAACTATTCTTATTTTGTTGGAGAAATCATCAAAATTTGAAAAAAAACAGAGAAACCGAATTTTTACGTCTTTAGTTTCCAGTGATTGAATCCCTAGTTTAGGGTATTTCTAATAAGTGTCAAGAGTGCCCGAAAATAGGGAATCGAAATCCCTAAACAATACGATTTTTTTCTCTCCCTCTGAGTGAAATCGAGCTTGGATAAAAGTTCTGACATTCCACTGAAATTTCTCAAAACAATCTTAAACAAAAAATTTGAAATGTCCTCACCCTATCAAACAACAGAAATTATACTCTAATAGGTATTGATCCGCGAACTCAAATATTCTCGTTAAAATCCGTCCTTCAAAATTAATTCCAAAATTAATCAATCAATTAAAAAA